GAGAGAGAGAGAGAGAGAGAGAGAGAGAGAGAGAGAGAGAGAGAGAGAGAGAGAGAGAGAGAGAGAGAGAGAGAGAGACTCGCGCCGGCCTGCTCGGCCGCTCCCCGCACGGGCCGTGGGCCCATTTCGTACTTTCCCAACACTGTGAACAGGGGCTCGCGTGGGACGCTCACGCGGGAGCAATCCTAAAGAATGGAAGTCATTATGGTATCCTTATTATAGCTCACCAGATGGACATGAGGGTTGTCGCCGCTCCAAAGAAAGTGAGACGATGTAAGCAACTTGGCATAGACCAGTTGGGACCGGAAACCAGCTGGAAACAGAAACCAGTTGTGCCCAGTACTGCAGGTTGCAAAAATGCTTTTGCTTTATGCACAAGGGGGAGCAGTGCAACAGTTGCATGGTGAAGAGGGAGGAGTGGAGCAGTCTTACCAGAAAGAGGCGACGAAAGAGAACTCGCAGCGATGGAGAGTGGATTGTGCTTACAGGAAAGCGGGGAGGAAGGAGATGATAGGAGATGGGACGGACATAAAACCACAGAGTTGCAACTAAGGGTATGAGAGTGAGCTGGATGCAATCATGAGGGGGGATGCGGAGAACCACAGTGTAACAGGAACAAGGACAGGGAGGAGGCCGGGAGCATCCAGGCCAGCAGCTCTGCACAGTGGAACATCAGGAGAAGAGAGAAAAAGACTGAGATACTGGGAGACAAATTTAAACGAGATGTGTAAGGAAAGTTGGGAAAGACAGGAGATGGGGTGCATGATTCAGTGTTTGACATGGTAATCAAGGATAGATGGGAGACAGAAGAGAGCATTGCAATAGGGGCGAGGAGGTGACCATGCAGATCATGGTGATTCAAGACGATGCAAGAGGATTGCAGAGGAAAGAGGAGCTGTCCGCTAGGTGACTAATGCATGGAGCAGTATAACCTCTGCGAGGTGGATCGGGAGGACGATGTTGACATGTGGGAACGGAGGAACAGCCTAGAGGTTACAAATGAATAGCCATCTGTGCCCCTCTCAGTCTTGCTCTTCATCTAATCATATGGCTGTTTGAAGGCTGGAGGAGGGAATAACCATACAATGAGCTAAGTCGAGAGAGGAGGAGGAAACAAAAAGGATAAAAAGCGAAATAAGTAAAAAACAAAACAACCCAAGAGCTTTTGAAATACAGACCAGAGTTCGAATCCAGATGACGGTACATGATGAGGAAAGCCAAATACTTCTGAATCGCCTGGGCCTGGTCAGATGAATGATGATATCTCACGGCCGTCACCCAATAAAAAAGAATAAGAAACAAAACAAAACAAACAAAAAACTGGGGAAGGACAACAGCATGAATAGAGTCTGTCCTTCGGGACATCCGTTAAAATTGGAACGCTACACAGAAGATTAGCATGGCCCCTGCACAAGGATCAGGAGAGGAAGAGGAGGAGGGGGGGGGGGGAAGCATGCATAGAGTCAGATACAACCATCATAATGTGACTGTGAAGTGGTGAGCCTAACAATAGCAGTGAATATGTGATGAGGGTAGCATGGCAGTATTATCTTCTTGAACTTGACATGTGTCCCGTTGACAACAATAAGAATCTATTGGCTGCACCTTCGTGTTTATACCCTCTTCCCCTTTGTGCCATAAGTGGAGCTGTGCCAAGAAACCATTTGTGGTTTGAATTTGACAAGAGAACGAGCCTGACAATTCGATTTCAGCCTCAAATGAGGCCAGAAGGATGAACTGGGTTTTCTTGTGTGAAATGAAGAGATGGCTCTTATTAGAGATAATGGTCACATGACAAGACCACATCTTGCACATTCGGTTGCAAAGAGATGCAACTTGTTTTCCATTCTCAGTGCTGAAACATATGGAACTTTCAGGATAGAGATATGCGAAGAACTCACCGAGAACGTCTGAATTCCAATCCCATGCTTTGAAAATATGGCCGACACATCCGCAAGAAGACCTGCAGCATACACACCTAGAGGGAATGAGAGGCCAATGTGTGGGCATAAGAAGCACTGTCCTCCACCCCCTTCTCTCTCTCTCTCTCTCTATATATATATATATATATATCGTCAAATAGAACTGCCCGGTAAACCGTAGGCAGAGAGGGAGAAGAGGACAACAAATGAGGGGCTGTGACAAACTGTTTCGTCGGAGTTTCACCGACTCATCAATATATATATATATTGTCACATCACTACAAACTAAAAGAGCGCACTTTGCGGAACAAAGAATAAAAGCAAAAAACGGGCACAGTGATAACATGCAAAAATAAAAACAAAAAGAAAAAACAAGGGCAGATTG